AGATAGATAGATAGATAGATAGATAGATAGATAGATAGATAGATAGATAGATAGATAGATAGATAGATAGATAGATAGATAGATAGATAAAATTTGAGCGGTCACATTAAAACTTTTATAAGTCCTCTTTATAAAACACCTTTCTAAATGTGTTTTTAATATCATTTAAAGGTCCATTGAACATCAGAAGATGAACATCACACTGTCCAACACCTCCATCAAGTGTATTAGAGACACCAGTGTAACRTCAGTGGTTTTCCCTGGTCTTTACGGCAGCCTTTGTTTAGTTGCCCTGATACTAAACTCCCTTGCTGCATGGACCTTCTTCAAAATTCCTAACACTTCAACATTTGTGGTCTTTCTGAAAAATGTGGTAAGCCATTGAATGACTCTTATGGATCAAATATTGTGAAAATTGCAAATAAAAAGATGTACTTGTTATGTTTTAATAACAGGTAGTGGCTGACCTGCTGATGACCCTGACCATCCCTATTAAAGTCTTGAGTGATGCAGGTGTGGGACCCTGGCATCTACGTGCCTTTTATTGCAGATATTCTGCTGTCCTCTTCTACATCACCATGTACATCAGCATTTTGTTGCTGGGCCTCATTAGCTTGGACCGCTGCCTGAAGATCGTCAAGCCTTTTGAGAAGTGCCCTCTGCAGCGGGTTCGTGTTGGACAGACTCTGAGTGCAGCTGTTTGGGTGGTGATGTTATGTTTGGCTTTACCCAACGTTATTCTAAGTGATCAGCCACCAAAAGTTACAGGAAACAGACTCAGGTGCTCCTCCATGAAGAGCAAAGCCGGTTTGCTGTGGCATGAGGGATTTAACTACTTTTGTCAGGTAGGTGTTCCAAAACAATTAAAGTCATTTAGATGTATAATAAATTYATATGTTGTTTCGAGCAAACACTTAATGTCCCTGAATTTTGAAAAAGAGTTTAGATTTTTTGATGTGCGATAAAGTTATGAACAATTAATATTGCACCTGCTGTAGATAAATCTTTGAAAAATCTCATTTTGGCCAAAATTAAGTTCAATTCTGACCTAAATGACAAGCTAACGGCTAGCCTTAGCAGGACCAAAACACTGTCTTCCTATAGAAAATTCCACTTTCATATTTATTTTTTTGTTTTTTTTGCAAACACTATTTTATAAATGTATACACCACTGTCATTTTTACATCTGTTATTTGCATTTAAGACTATTTTGACTCATTGTCAGTAACATTTCCATGTGAAACTTATTGCAAAAGAGAATGAGTTATTGCCCTTAATGAGTGGTTATGATCTATTTTTCAAAGCATTACAATCCTGACATTAAAGATTCTAAATTGATTTCTGTCAAAAAGGATTATTTAATGGTAATAATGCCTTGTAACATCCAGCAAAAAGATAAACTCTGAAGAACAGAAGTGCAGCACCTGGGCTCACTGGCTGTTGGTTGCAAACACTCAGAATTAAGCAAAACTGCAACTAAAGATTTCATTTTGAGTCGCCAACTACCCTACAATAGGTAGAGCTAAATTAGGCCTTACACATTGTTGCACCATTTGAAGCAACATCCTATGTCGAAAATACTAACAAGCCTTCCCACACTCAAATATGTGACAAAAAAACAAAGTTTTAGAAACACAAGAAAGCAGGTAAGATAGCTCTAACATGTAATTCAAGGCCATAGCCAGAAAAAAAGCATTAAAACACCATACCTTACATGTTGATCTATTAACCTCTCCATTCCCTTCAGCAAGAAAGGTGTTAAGCTGATGGGTCTGAAAGATTTTTGCTTCTTTTTATGTTGGCTTGCCAGGTTAGGCAGAAAGACAACCTTTGCTGTCCTCCACCCAACTGGTACACAGCCATTTGCTGGACAAGCAACATACTGTATATTCTAGTAAGTGTGTCCAGAAGCAATTCTAGTCCTTTTTGGAGAAGAGCTGGAAAAAYACCATCTGGACCACAAGCTTTGAATGGGTTAAACATATCAATTACCCATTTTACTTTGCATTTAGTAACAATGCAGTTCTGTTCCAGTCGTCCTCTGTTGGGTTTGAGTTAGCTACCGTGACAGGCTGTTCAGCCTCTTCTGCCCCAGGAAAGTGTACCTGGAGGAGATGCTGAAGCACACTCTTCTGTATGACTGTTAATCCTCCTGGTGGAACAATGAAGGATAGATAGTTGACTGGATACTTCCTGAGAAGTGTGTAAAGCTGAGACTAGCTGTAAACTCAAACTGTAAATTTGGTGAATTTTAAACATTTTTTCCAAACTAAGCTCATTCAAAAAAGCGATCTACAACAAGTGAGATATTCATTGTTCATAACTTGGTCACTGAACCCCCCAATAAACAGTGTTAAAATTTTCTTTAATGGTTACACCTTTCATCCTTCATTCACACATGACAATACAAATCTGGCTTCAACTTTTTTGTTTCACTTTATGATTGTTTCTGTTACCTTTCAGGTTGTATTTTGGGGCACGTTTGTTTTGATGGTYGCTTGCTACACACTGATAAGCAAGAAGGTCTTTGAGTCATACAAAGCCTCCAAGAGCAGATACCAGTCTGCAAGCCGAAGAACCAAAGCGAAGGTCTTTGTGGTGGTGGGGGTGTTTTTTATCTGCTTCGCCCCGTTCCACTTTGCGCGGGTTCCTTACACGCTGACTCAAACCCGAAGCACTTCAAGTCACTGCCGGGCAGAGAATGTGCTCTATGTAGCYAAGGAAACCACACTGTGGCTGTCTGCTACCAACGTATGCCTTGATCCACTCATTTATGTCTTCTTGTGCAAAATGTTTAGGAGGAGACTGATGGCCACACTCTGTAAAACAGCTGTGGTTACTTCCAACGCGACATCAACACAAATGGAGATGTCACAAATGAACCACAGTATCAAAGTGTCACTTAATGACATGTCCAAACAATATATATCCGAGACTTCAGGATGAGCCAGAAAGACTGTTTATTGCACTTGGAACAAAATGAATTCAGCTCAGATGAAYGGCCACGGCTATTTAAAACACAAGTTTGTTGGTCAACAAGTTTTATGCATTATTTTTTATGCATCTTATTTTTATGCATTATTTTTGAACTTACTAATTCTGTACACTTTTGCTTACTCATCCTAAACATTTCCTACCCCTTCTGTCATTTTCTACTTCCTGTTGTCTAATCTCATGAAAACTGTATTTTCCCCTTGAAAATGTGCCAATTTTGAGAGCACAATTTTTTTCCTGTTTATCTATAAAGCTTTGAATGGGATGGGAAGGAATGGAATAGTGCAACGCAGCATTATGGATCAATTTAATGAGCAACATGATTTTATTATTATTATTGCTTAAAAATATGTCTTAATTAATATTGTTAGTTTAATGCTTTCTTTATGTTAATGGATTTTCATTTTGGGGATTTTGAAGAATTGGGTCATGCAAACATTGAGCATAAAGGTCCAGTTTCTGTTTCTATAATAGACAGACCACATAATGTGGAACTTGAGTCCCAGATATCATAAAAATGAATTTGAGTGCGTTTTATAGAAATGGAGAAACAGGATGTTCATTACATTATTATTTTATTATATTCAAACTAAATTAATGAGAGTTTTTTGTTTGTTTATTTATCTCTTAGATGTAACAAAGCTTTATTATAGAGTACATGCATGTAACAGGTTACTTTTATGGTTTAGTAACAACAATAAAAGTAGTGKAAATTAGTAAATGGTCATGTAAAAATGTATAAATGAAATAAGCATATTTTYCCTGTAGACGTGTAAAAACTGAAACTTTACACAATATTTTTTATTAGGTGCAATACTTGAAAAATGGTGAATTGTTATGGTGTTATTAACTAAAATGCAAACCATTATTATATGTGCATGATGTGAATGTAGTTCTTGGGTCTGTTTTATGAAAGACATTTTCACTGGGGGAAAAATGTGCACTTACAGTATGCATTAGTAATGGTTGCATTCCATTTAAAAGTGCTCCTCCATACCTATTAAGTTAAAGGGGTGGCATCATTCATTATTCATCCACAATCAAGCAATTATTTTACCTTCAGTTCTGAAAATGCTGTATATATATCAAAAATAAATTAGGCTTTGCATCACAGTCTATCTAAATGCTTTGAAATTGGTCTCTGTCTCTTTAAGAACCCCCTACTGTTTCTGACACTCCCACATCAGCATGTTTTCAAACAATGCTTTGGGGAGGGGTGCTCTTTGGGGTGGGAGCTTGACCGCAGACTGAGCTCCGGGGAGGAGCTAGGTACAAATAGGCGGAGCTTTGTACAACAAGTGTTTAGGTAGCTCCGCTTGGCTATCACAAGAGATTCAAGGATTCTCATAAATGCATAGATGAGTGAAAGCAATATTATTGGGATATTTTTATATGGGAATGACATAACATGATATAAAGCTCAAAGTCAATTTTGCATTATCCCCCCTTAAGTCAAAATGTCCTTCATGAAATAGGTGACCAAAAAATAAAACGATATTCAATTGAAAAATGCAAAAAACTATTTTGGGATTTTTGTTTGCTTGTTCAGGTATAATGCTAAATCAGTTTTATTGTACATTTAAAGCATTAAAATACATGTTTTGTTATTATATATCCTACTGAAAGTTTTTTTATTATGTTTAATAAATGATGAATGGCTCTAAACCTCTTCGTGTGTTTTATTATTTAGGAATACTTTGTCTAATAAAATGTTGTTGTTTTTTTTTTTTTTTTTGGTTTACCTGATGTTTTGTTCGTGTCTGTTTCACACCTTTGCATTTTAAACATGTGAGCTCAACTAAAAACTATGCTGTTTTTAGATTTAACAAGTGTAGTGATCCGAACCTGAGGCCTTTGCCAATTCTAAGCTGCCGGGAACAGCAATTAGTTGTGCATTCAAGATGAATGGAGCTATTTTGGCATCACTCATTGGTTCAAAAATGACCATTTGGAAGATAGTCATAGATGAAACATATCTGGACAAAAGCATTATTTTTGAGGCCTAATATCTATTCGTTTATAACACCAGCAACATATTTTAAAAAATAAAATAACTCACTTAAACAGTTTTTTGATCTGGTTATTTCGTAATCAGGGCATATTACCACCAGAGTCACACTGTAGCCATCAGCAGTTTTTCAGCACGCAGGAAGTTTCTCAGGTTAACTATCTGCCTTTTATATCTAATACCTGCAAAACGTTCTTGCAAAGCTAGAAGTTGTGTGCTAGCACTGAAAGCAAACCAAGTTTAATATAACCCTAAAGTAGACCTAGTAAATAACTCAGAAAACCAGAGAAGAGAAAAATACATGTTCAAGTAAAAATTGACTTCCCTGCACACTGCAACAACTAAAAGATGGGTTTTAGGACATTCGTAAACTATTTCTGCAGGATTAATGTGACCAACCACATGATTTATAATTGAGTCTGCATGTGGGTTTGATTAATCTAATAATGAAATATGATCTCTTTCCAACCCACCCTCTGTGGGTCATGACAGAAGCTGATATTTGGGCAGGAAATTAATGAGCTACAGCACGGTCAGAGTGGTGACTGCAGCCAGCGTAGGGCTGTTTTTCACCCCCAGATTAAATCCGCTGACAAATGACCCTGTAGCCGAGAATTATGAGAAATTTGAAATGACATTTACGAAAATTAAACAAACCATGTAGACAGTCTCCCCCAGGTTTTTGCATGGACTCAGATTGGGAGCAAATTATGCCAAATTCCTCACGGAGGGAAAGAACTAACAGTTCCTTCCGACTGTCTGGTTGGTTCAGCTGGCATGTCAGACAGAGCTGTCAGACAGAGCTGTCAGGTCTGCATCAGTGAAGCCAATCAGGTGGGTTTTTAAGGTTTCATGTCAAGATGTTACAGAAAGCTTAATTTATAGAAAACACATAATTTTGACACATTTTTAAATTGTTTGAACAGTTGTTGAAGGAAATGAAAATGAAACAAAAAACCATGTACCATGCAAAGCTCAGCTGAGTTTCCTGTAAAGTAAAAAAATAAATTAATTAAAAAAAATCACATTAATAAATTCAAAATCTCAAATAAAATCATGAGAAAGGGCTCAAATTGATGACTATATTGTATTTTATGAGCCTTTTTAATGACTCTCCTCTGCTGTCATTGTTTTTGAGTTACTGAGTTACTATTTTCAAATATGCCACTGGGTTGACTAGATCAGGGTTTTTCAACCGTGGTCCTCAAGGCACACTGCCCTGTATGTTTTAGATGTTTCCCTGATTCAACACATCTGATTTCAATTGATAACTGATTAACAGGCTTATGTTGAACTGCAAAAATCTGAATCAGGTGTGTTAAAGCAGGGAAACTTCTAAAATATGTAGGGCAGTGTGCCTTGAGGACCAGGGTTGGGGAACACTGGACTAGATTGTCTTTGTTGGGGACTGTATTGACTGTGGCTATTTAGAACCTTTGGTAGTCAAGACTACATTGTTTTGTGAAACGGGCCGGGACGTAACAAAAGGCCTATGTTACATCCCGGCTCGTGATGGACGCAACATAAATGACAAGACCAAAATATAGTATATAAAAAAAGATAATTTACAATTAATTTTTACAATTAAATTGCAAAGAACTAAAAATAAAATACAAAGGTAGGAGGTTTTCCTCAAAATGAATTCAAATGCAGCAAAACTGTTGTACAAAAATGTAAACAGACTAATAAAAGGGGCAACATCCCAAATAGAAAGGCCTACAAGAAAACAAAACACAAGATCTATAAGAACAAAAGGAATTAACCAAAACTACTGGCTCAAACCAGAAAGAGTTTCACAAAACAAAGGTTCACAACAAAGGTTCTAAAATGCCACAGTCAATACAGTCTCCTACAAAGACAGTCTAGTCAACCCAGTGGCATACTGTTCCTGTATCAGCACTGAATGAAAGGTTGAGCTGGCTTTTATAAGCTCCCTCATGTGGTCTGACTTCCTCATTGGTAGCTGCTGGTGAGTGTGTGATGCTGCCCAAGGTGTGCTCCAGCCAATCATCTTTGGACAGGTAATCCTTGAAGGTCTTCTGTGGAAATCCACCAGCAGAGGGAGGCAGCCAATCAGCACCTGGAGCTGTGAACTTCTCATATGTGGAGAAGCCTTTGAAGAAACTCAGGGTCACAGTTGGCTTGCCAACCGCCAAAAAACTCAAGAAGAAGAAGAAAAAACTCAGGAGAGGCAGTACAGGCCTGGGGCTGTAACACAAACCAAAAAACAAGTAATTAAAAAAAGTATAAACAATTCTATAATATTACAAAATGTCTATTGTAAATATAAGATTAGAAAGATTGGGGGGATCATTTATTTAGGTTCTGCGTTGGAAGCCACTGTTCTGTTGTCATTTGTATTTTAATCACTTAATGATTTGTTTTGTTAGATTTTTGTTCCTCCAAAACTTGGAAAAATGTAATTACATACTGGCAAACAAACCATGACTAAATGAATCTGCAGTGATGCATTTTGCCCACTAGGAGGCAGAAGAACAAAAAGCAAAATGACCTACCTTCTCAAATTTGACAGAAAAATGAATGTGTCCACCTGAGAGGAAATATCTGATACTAAACTCTGAGTCAGTCAAATATCTACATCAAAACATTCAGCTCATTCTAAAGGTGGGTGCCATGGCTTTTGCTTATTTGCAATGTTTACACTTTTCATAATGTTAACTTTTTTATTATTCCTCCACTTTCCAACTTTTTGCTTATTTTTGCAGGCTAGTGTTTTGCTACCTTTTAACTTTTTATTCATTTATTTAGTTTCAGGTAGCTAAATCATTCAGCACAATTTTTTTTTGCAGTTTTCAACAAAAATTATATCTGTTTTAGGCTATTTGGTCAAAATGCCTCTGCGTGTATGGTAAATACTCCAAAACAATCAAAGATATTTATGACCAAAGTTTTGACTTCAGAATCGACAGCGCGCGCTCCCGTGCCCAAACAGATCCGCGCGCCCTCCCAACTTTACGTCACGTCATCCTCCTGCCACGTGACGCTGCTGTCGGGTCATATGATCGATGAGTTCCGTCTTCCCCGTCCGCCGTTAACTTTCCTCCCAGGCGAGTATGGCGGACTTTGAGGACCGGCAGAACCTGTTGGGGGACGAGGACGATGACCGGCAGGGAGCCCGAGAACCCGGCAGACCCATGCTCGCCATTTGCGACCCCAGCCGCCTTCTGCACCGGGTGGTCGTCCTGTTTTTTATGTGCTTCTTGGGATTCGGTGAGTAGCATTCCGACCAGGCACTGTGGAGATTCTTTGATTAACTAAAGTAAATAGATCTGAAATGACGCACAGAACGCTTGTAACAGAGTTTTTGCTTGTGCAAAGTAAAGGCTGAATCATGTAATGTCGATAATGTTGTTTGTTAATGATTGGGTTTATGTTCCAGGAAGTTACTTCTGTTATGACAATCCAGCTGCTCTTCAAAGTCAAGTCATCCAGGTGATTTCTTCTCATACACCAGGAAATTATAGGGCAGAAGTAAGAATTTATAGACAGAATCACAGACTGAGAAATCAGCCCAGAGGAGAGCACATATTTCACACAGCGACCTAATTAGATTTCTGCATTCAGAAAATTAGCATATCAACCCAGTCAGAACTGTCAATCAACCTCCTGCTCGAGCAACATTTCTGTTTTACTTTGTTATGCTTAGATCTAAAATATGAATTCATTCAGATCCTTGTTTGTCTTCCAGGATCTGAACCTGAACACTGAAACCTTCATGCAGCTGTACGCCTGGTACTCCTGGCCGAATGTCGTTCTCTGCTTCTTTGGAGGGTTTCTGCTCGACAGAGTTTTTGGGATCAGGTAAAACAAAAAAGTTACATTTAGTTTTGTTTTTATTCCCTCCCGCTCATGTTCTGAGCTCAACCAAATCGAAAGTAAAAGAAAGGAATTTTGCACACGTCACCTTGATGTTTATCGACTCCTGTCCCTTTAGGCTGGGAACCATCATCTTTTCCCTCTTTGTCTGTGTTGGACAGGTTGGATTTTTTTTCTTTCTTTCTTTTTTTTCAATGATCATTCTAAATAAATGCAAACTTTACCCTTAAAATTAGCATATAAGTGCTGAGCTTTTTGCCTTTTCTTCACAGGTTATTTTTGCAGCTGGAGCTCTGGCGAATCGTTTCTGGCTGATGGAAGCAGGACGTTTTGTATTTGGGTAAAATGCACACAAACAATTTTATCAACACATAGATGTTTTAGGGTTGTTCAACATGTCATATAATCTCATTCTTAGTAATGTGCTGAAGTCCCACAACATCCATTGTTTCTTTGTTTTTTTGTTTTTTGTTGTTTTTTTTTTCTCAAAAAACATAATTTTCAGCTATGTTCATGCTGTAGATAATTTAATATTTTTTTCTTAAACTATAGATTTTCCTTAGTCTTCCACTTGTCTATTCTATTTATTTTTCTCTCCCACTGACTACTGAAGATGGGCACCAGGTCCCCATGGCCCAGAACATGATCAATCTGGTACAGAAGAAGGAAATAAACATGTTTTTACATACTGAAAATGAGTAGCGCTGCAGCCAAAGTCCAAAGAAAAACTTGGAAAATACTTGAAAGTCTCAAATAACTCTTGATAAATGCTACTTTAAGCAGTTACAAGTTGAGCATATTAGGGTCACAGTATTGTAAATTCATCAAACTTCATTTTAGAAAACTAAAACCTTCATCCAGACTCGTAAATTGAGTGTAACACATCAGGTTTCCCCTCACTAAACATGCCCAAAATCTGAGACTCGGGCTGCTCTCTGACACACCTCAGGTACCTCACACGTTCTCCTCTTYTCTTCTGTAGGATCGGAGGAGAGTCGTTGGCTGTGGCGCAAAACACATATGCAGTCAACTGGTTTAAAGGCAAAGAGCTCAACCTGGTGTTTGGTCTACAGCTCAGCATGGCTCGCCTGGTAAGAATGTAAATAACAGAATCTGAAATAGTATAGAATAGAATAGTAGAGTCAGTGAGAGTTTTAGGGTGTTATTATTGATGAGAAACTGACATGGAAACCTCATAAATTATTTAAGAAAAAAATTAGCTAAATCTGTTGCATTGCTTTACAAAGTAAGGGACTTGTTCAATGATAAAGCTCTGTATATGTTATTTAAGACATTAATTGTTCCACACTGGGTTTATTGTGTTGAGGTATGGGGTAAAGCATGTAAGACAATTAATCCTGTTTTTGTTTTGCAAAAAAGAGCTATAAGAGTTATCACTCGAAAACATTACTATTATCCATCTATTATTCTGCAAACTGAAATTATTGAAATTTTATAATTTGGTTGATTACAATATTTTGTTAGTTATGTATAAGGCTCACCAAAACACATTACCTATAAATACCCAGAAAAACTTTGCAGAGAGAGAGAGAGCTATTGTAATCTTAAGGGGACAGAGTTGTTCATGAAACCTAAATTTAGAACATGTTTGAAAGAACGGTGCACCTCAATCCAWGGAGTCAGATTGTGGAATAATCTGGAAAATGATGTGAAAAGTGCCAAATCAAAGTACATGTTCAAGAGAATAATAAAGGTTGGATTGTTGAAAAAATATGGAACAGTTTAATGTGTAACCATATAATTTATTGTTCTAGAAAGATTTGATGTTCTTGTTTTGTTTTGTTAACTAAAGATTACTGTTGTTTGAACTGAGAAAAAAAGGGACAGATATAAGATTTTTATTCTTCTCTCTGCTTCCTTTCATTTTGTTGTTTGTATTTTTTTGTATATCATTTTTTTATGAAATGAATAAAATTTATGAAATGAAATATTTAAAGGCCTAACATTCCTTGAAGGAATGCATATCCCCCACTAGCTTACCATACCATACCATACCATACCATACC